CCCCATGTTTGTGACCTTTCCAGTTAATGAAGTCTCCACGTGAGCTTGTTGGATCAGCAGTGTTCCCTTGTATTTAATGATCCACACTTAGTTTAATGTCCTCTTAACATTTTCATAACCTGAAGGAACCAAATCTGACCCTGACCTCCACAATCTGATCAGTTGTATTTGACCTTTAGTCACTAATACCTTCAAGAAGTTCAGAGGAAGAGCAGGAAACACATTAGCCTTGTTGTTCTGGACTTCAGCTCATGTCTTCTGGGTCTAAGGGGTGGATGGTACTTGGGTGGGGGGTCTGGAGTGGGTCCTACTGATCTGCACATGCTGCCTTTCCACATCAGACAGGCCGACTCACGTTTGTTTTTTTTCTCCTTGGCTCTTACCTCTGGAGATGTTGGCTTTTATTGTTTGTTTGTTTATTTCTTTTTAACAGCTTTTTTTTTTAATGTATAAAAATTAAAATTTTTATTTTCTAATTTTATGCACTTTTAATTCAGGTGCATTCTATGGTGTTGGTGTACAGTACTTTGGCCAATGCTTTTTTTATTTTATTTTAATAAAGTTAATTATATTGTATTAAATCAAAACTCTAAATTCATTATTAGCTCAGGGGTTACCATGGTAACAGGTTCATTTTGGTTGAACAGGTTATTTTCAGCCAGTAATTACCTAGAAGGAACAAAGAAAATAAAAACACAATCAGCAGTTGAGTTTTATTCGTACTACAGGACGTCAGACGGACAACATGGACGACGCAAAGGCCAGCTGACCCTAATCCTGGTCTTGGGTCTGTGCTGTACCCCTAGGCTAGCTACTAATCCTCAAACAGGACCTCGTCTATGAGGACATCGTGTTCATGAACAGGGACTTGTGTGCAGAGCTGCTGTCTGAAGGCCAGGCCAATGGTGTACGGTTTTCCTTTAGGATGTCTGCTGCAGCGCTCCAAGTAGGTGTCGTAGAACCCTTTCCCTCGTCCGAGACGTCTTCCAGACAGGTCAAAACCCAGACCCGGCATCAAGATCAGGTCCAGACCTCCTGGACAGGAAGAAAAACATGGCATTGTTGTGTCAAATGACAGTTTTGATTTTTCAACTGCACCTCTCTAAAAGAACATTATTATATGATTATTGAGCGTGGATCAGGATGTTTTGAACCACTTGGGCCCTGACGGCCTCAAACGAGTCAGCGGGGGAGAGGGCGGACTCCAGAAATTATTTGAGCGCCATCAAACTAGTTGACCCACTATGTGAAGGTGCTATTTATAAGACTTGAGTTTGTTGTGGCTCCTCGGACTGATGAAGTCTTTTGGATGAAAGACGGAACGTTTCAACACAAAAAAAAAAAAAAAACAATCCAGAAGACCTGACTTAACTTTGTTGGATTTTTCTACCTGGATTACTGAGCATGAATCAGGACAGTTAAATTAATAATTATCAACAACTAATACCAGTAAATAACCAGTTATTAACAACCAATACAGTTAATAACCAGTTCTTAATAACTAATACCAGTTAATAACCAGTTTTTAATAACTAATACCAGTTCATAACAAGTTTTTAATAGTTGTTACACAGAAACTCTATCCAACAAGACTGCATTATTAATCATTTAACTCTATCCCTCTGTTATTAAGCACAATTTGTCTAACTGGTATTGGTAACTATTATTAACCAGTTATCAGTTATTAACAACTAATACCAGTTAATAACCAGTTATTAACATCAACAACTAATACCAGTTAATAACCAGTTTTTAATAGTTGTTCCACAGAGACTTTATCCAACAAGACTGCATTATTAATCATTTAACTCTGTCCCTCTGTTACTAAGCACACTTTCTCAAGCAGGTAACTATTATTAACCAGTTATTATCAGTTATTAATAGTTATTAATTGGACATTGTCTGACAAGACTCTTCAAACATTAAATAAGCCACATGGACCTGTCCACAGGTCCTAGAAGTCCATCCCTTCCAGTGTCCAGTCTCTGTGGACCCAAATTCAAAAAAGTATAAACACTTTGTATATTTAGAAGCTACAAATGGACAATAAAACCTCAGTCCTACTGTTTTGGATCTAAATTTAGACTATTCAGTCAAAAGTTGTGTTTCCTTCCAGCCTTTAATAAAATTCTGGAACCACAGTCTGTCTGGACCAGTCTGACCCTCTGAGGTGCAGATCTATCAAACACTGTCCCCGTCCCCCTGGTGGGTGCAGAGTTGCAGACCGGCAGACAGAGCTTCCTCTCTGCTCTCGTCGTCTCCTGCAGGCTGCCGGATGTTCCAGGACGTGAGCGGCAGCGTCTCCATGTCCTGCAGACTGTCCATCTTCAGCATGTCCATGTGGGAACTGTCGCTCTCATATCTGGGAATGAAACAGCTTTTCCCACACAGGAACACGTCTTTAACGATGTCCTGAGTGGACACCTCGTCCTCCATGCTGAGAAACACGGCGATACGCTGGGCGGACACGTACTTCGGGTGTTTGAAGAGCTACAAGAAAACAAAAACCAAAGGTTTGGACTTTAACCCCCAAGTCTTTGGAGTCTGTTCTGAGAGCTGAAACATTTTTCAGACAAAGAAGAAACCAGCATCTGCAGTAAATAAACCTTTACTAACTGAGGTTCTGTCAGGTTCTGTGTGTGAATGGATCTGACCCAAGCCTCAGACCAGGGGTCTGCAACCTGCGGCTCCGGGGCCTCATGTGGCTCTTCAGTCTCTGGTTGGTGACTCTTTGAAGCTTCAACCAAAACTAAGAAAATGTACCTTTATTGGTTTTTGTTCCCCCAACAGAAAAGGCTAGTTTACTGCAAATGTTCAGATGATATTACGAAGACGAGGGTCAGACTGAGAGACTTCATTTATCTGACTGACAGCCTCATGGAGGGACCGGGCTCTCAAACCTTCAGGACACATTGATAAGCAGTTTGATAACAATTGGATTTTTTATTTTTTTAATAATTAAAGGCAATTAAAGTATATAAAAACAATTATTTAACTTAAAAACTTACACCCAGCACACACACTTTTTGCCCCTCTCCCTTCAGGCATGAGGTTGTGGAGCATTAAGTGTAGAACCACTAGACTGAGGAACAGCTTCTACCCTGAAGCTGTGACTCCTGAATATCTAACCAGGATAATCACTGTAAAAAAATCACTGTAATGCCACTTTAATTGGGGATATGTGCTGCTGATTATCCATGCTGCTGATCTCATGCTGCTGATCTCATGCTGCTGTATTCATTCGCACTCATCTACTCGGACTCATGTTCGTGCTGCTGTTGTTTGGTGTATAGATTAGCACTATTAGTGTTTAGCATATTTCTTAGTTTATATATTCACTGTTTCTTTTTACAATTTATATTTTTGCTATTGTTGCATGTAACTGGGACCCCGTGTACACAGTTTTGTTCCACCACATGTACCACATGTGATGCAAATGATAATAAAACCTACTTGAACTTAAACAATTTAATAAGCCACAATTGCATATCTGACAAAATGGCCTAATATTTATGCACGCTTCAAATGTATGCTTTTTTACTTCAAAGTGGAATATTTAATAATTTTAACAAAAAAATTAAAAGGAGAACTTATAAAAACTTAAAGTATAAGGTTTGAATTAGTTGCTAAATTGCTAAATTGGAAAGAAATATACAGTAAACTATTTTTCTTCTTCTTTTTTTTACATGAATCTGATTTTTTTCTCTTGTCCTAAAATGTAAAAATATCCATGAATAGTAAAACTGATCACATAATTTCCGTTTTGTAACGTCACCTACTGGATGTAAAACCCCTTTGGCTCATGGGCCACCAGTTGATCGCCATAGTTGTTGCAGGTTTTGGAGCTCTGAACATGATTTGTTTGGCGAGCGAAGAGTAGAAATAGATTTTTTGATCAAAAAGGTTGAAGACCTCTGGTGTAGAGTCTCAGTCATCAGGATTCAGAGAATCCAGAGGAACCGGACTTCAGTTCTGTAGCTGAAGATCAATGGTGGGCACTGCTAACCAATTCTATTCAATTCAGTTTATTTATATACAGTAGCTCCAAGTCACAACAGGAGTCATCACAGGGCACTGAACAGAAATATTCACGTATAAAAAGTAAGTTAATAACATTATATATCAGAGGAGCACACTGCTTTGAATTTAACTTCATCACAGACTCTCATCTTGAGCAAGCATGAAGGTGACAGTGGGAAGGAAAACCTTCATGAAGAAGAAACCTCCAGCAGAACCAGGTTCAGGACAAGCGGCCATCTGCTTTAACCAGCTGGGTTTGAGAGGAACAGGAAGGAGGAACAGATACACAATGGCAGTTCAAGAATCACGTTAAAATAAAAATAATATAAAATGTAAACTATTCAGTTGTAACTATTCAATAAAAAAGTGGTCAATTTGTCCAGGATCTTAGCTTATACCAGCCAACCCTAACTATAGGATTTATCAAAAAGAAAAGTCTTAAGCCTAGTCTTAAAACTGAATGTGTCAAGAGAGGACCCTGTTACTAATACTGTACTAATAATTACTAATTATTAATAATACTATACTAATAATTTGACACAAATCAAATTAATGTCAATCTGTAAAACTGTAAGTTCATGCATATCTAAACGGGACGTCTAGTTTATTTCTACATTAACTGTGCATTCGGGATGAATTTCAAAGTTTACGAGTTGTCTTTAAATGCACCATGAAACCGTGGCCGTAAAGCTCTGTGTAAAAGCGCAACACGTTTTTTTAAGTACAGATCAGTAGCGTAGTACTACAGACATAAATGAGTAGTACAGCGACCCCAACATCGTTACGGCAGTGAGTGAACCAAGGAACTCAGAACATAGACCCAGAACGATACGAAGAACGTGTGTGAAGTTAGCAAGGTTCCGGTCCTCACCTTGTGTGAAAGCAGCAGAGACTGTCTCCGTTTCTCCTCCGGGCTCAGAGCTGAGACCCTCCGCTTTACTTCACTCCTCAGAGCTTTTTTGGCGGCTCTCAGTGCCGCCATCTTTTGCCGGTCAGATGACAGGTCAGGGTGGTTCTGTCCCGCTGCTGGCCGGTCCGATCCACAAGGAGTTCTGGTAGCCGGACCTTTCTGCTCCCCTGACCAAACGTTGAACTTTATCCAGCGCGTGTGTCAACTCAGCTCCGATAGTGTCCGCCCCATTTCCATACAGGTGCAGGTCCCGGCAGTTGAAGCGGCGCACAGGGGAGGAGAGAGAGAGAGAGAGTTTATAATCACGTGACAGCGGCAGGGTCTGTGTTCAGTCTGCCACTGATGTGTGCTCGTTTTATGTCACTGTTGAACTTCCATGTAGAAAACGGCATATAAACTCGAGTCTCTGATTGGTTCTCACTGATCTAAAAGAACACCTCCCACCAGCAAACGATTATTCAGTCTGTTCCTGAGAAATTCCTAAAAAAAAATGCACATAAACTTATCCGTCGTCATTTTTTCCAGCCAGGTCGAACCTCGGCTAAATGAAAAGGAACGGACTGGTTGAGGAAAAAAACCCACTGGTCAGAAAACTGTCCAGAGGACCCGAGGCTCTGCAGTTTGAGCAGGATTCAGATTTACGGTTCCTCTGGAGTTCTGCTGAGTCATGTTCAGGTCCAGAGGTCTGCAGCAGGGTGTCTCCTGTAGGTTGAGTGTGATTGGCTGAGCTGTGGGAGGTGGGTTGGTCTGATCCAACATCTGGAGAAGTTTAACTGTCTTTCAGAAACGCTGAAGCTGAGAGGAACATCAGAAACCGTCACAAGATGTCTTTCATACAAGTCGATCCAACGTCGGACTTCTCCTACCAGAACCTTCCTTATGGAGTCTTCTCCACCTCTGAGAACGTAAGCTCTTGTTTGTTTTCTTTGGTTTTTGTCCGGCTCCAAGAAGAAGAAGAGAACATCTGGCAGAGCAAAGCCTAGATTCGGTTCTGTCTTTGAAGCAGATCATACACCAACTTTACCCACTTCTTCCTTTACGGGTCATGGGGGTCACTGGTGACCATTGTCCAGCAGGTCACAAGTCCACCCAGAACAAAAAAGTTCCAGAGAAAACCAGGATGATGAGAAGCAGCAGCAGTTAGCAGTGTCACCTCACAGTTTGACTCTGAGGTTCTGTCTGAGAGGACTTTGTCCTTTCAAAATAAAATCAGATGATGTCTTTGTGGTTCTGATTCAAGTCACTGCAAAACTTTGTTTTTTCTGCTTCTAGCCCAAACACAGGATTGGTGTTGCTATTGGAGACCAGATCCTGGACCTGAGTGTGATCAAGTCTTTGTTTGCGGGGCCTGTGATGTCCACGCACCAGGACGTCTTCGATCAGGTGACTGTCTCTAAATGTTAAAAGTGTAAAACAAAAGATTCAAACAGTCGAACTCTGAGGCTGAGGTTCAGTCCACATCGGGTTCTTTTAGTCTTAATCCAAACTTCATGACCACAGATGGCGGTCAGAACCTGTAAATCCAGAGCTTTGCCTTTCAGCTAAGCCCCTTCACTACAGCTGACTGGAGCAACGCCTGCATTATTAAGGACACATAGTCAGTGTCTGGCACCAACACTCAGGAACAAGATCCAGAGACACCCAAAGTCCTCCAGTTTAGACAAAGTAACCCCAGTTCCCCTCAGAGACCACAACTGTAATCCTTCTCCAGATCCACAAAACTCATGTGGACCACATGGTCCACCTACTACGAACCCCTCAGAAGGTTCATGGGTTTGTGGTCCAATGAAAATGAACGGTTTTCAGTTTTCTGTCTGATTCATGAAGGTTTGTCTCACTGCAGCCGGTCCTGAATGCTTTCATGAGTCTGGGTCACGAGGCCTGGAAGGAGACCCGGAGAACCCTGAAGACGCTGCTATCCACAAGTGAGAGCACGCTGAGAGACGATGCCAGCCTTCGGAGCAGGTCAGTTCGTGTCCATGTCCACCAGGACAAAGACAGCAGAGTTTACTATTGTCCATCGAGACAGTGCGGGACACCAGACATGTGGACATTCAGGACGGGATGGGAGAGCAGACTTGTGGACGTTACAGGACGGGGTGGGACAGTAGACTTGTGGAAATTCAGGACGGGGCGGGACAGCAGACTTGTGGATGTTCAAGACAGTGTGGGACAGCATATTTGTGGTACATTCAGGACGGGGAGAGACAGCAGACTTGTGGACGTTCAGCCTGCTTCCTGAGGACAATAGTGTTTAGTCCAGTAGTTGGATTCTGTCTTCAGACCTGGTGTCCTGTCTTTAACGACCAGCTGTTTGTCTTTCAGAGCGTTTGTCCCCCAGAGCGCAGCGTCCATGCACCTTCCTGCGGACATCGGTGAGTCCTGGTTTAAAGACTTTGTCCTGAAGGGGACCACATAACCCTGGTCTTTGTGTGTGGCCTCAGTGTGAGAGGAGCCCCTTTAAAGGCTGCTGATGTGGGGGTTCTGCTTCGACCTGCCTCAGTCCAGTCCACTTGGACAGATCCGGTTTATCATGGAACTGGCCTGGACTCATTCTGTGTTCTTCTGATTAAAACTGAACATTGTTCCCAACAGACCCCAGAAAACCACTTCTTTCTCTAATGTGACTTTCTCGCTCTGGCACTGAAAGCAGGAAACTGGGTCAAACCGGGTCAAACTGGGTCAAAGGATCGGGCTATGATGTGAGCAGCAGGTCCGATCGCTGCTGATCAGAACCTCTCCTCTGTTTCACAGGAGATTACACAGATTTCTACTCGTCCAAAGATCACGCGTCCAACGTGGGCACCATGTTCAGAGGGAAGGACAACGCCCTGATGCCAAACTGGTACAGAACCAGAACCAACCAGCATGGTGTCCTGGTCTAAATTCTTCTTCTTCTTCTGTCAGCTGCTCCCTCTTCAGAGGTCTCCATAGCAAGTCCTCCTTCTCCGTCTCACTCTGTTCTCTGTGTCCTCTGTCCTCACTACAACTACCTCGATGTCCTCTCTAACTGTATCCATATATCGCCTCTGTCTTTTCCTGGCAGCTGCATTTCTAACATCGTCCCTCCTCTGGACATGTCCAAACCACTGTCCCTCCTCTGGACTTGTCCAAACCATCTCAGTCTGGTCTCTCTAACTTTGTCTCCCAGTTGTTCAACCTGTGCTGTACCTCTGAGGATCTCATTCCTAATCTTATCCATCCTTGTCACTCCCATCTTCATTTCTACGGCTTCCAGTTCTTTCTCCTGTCTTTTTGTCCATGTCTCTGTCTCCAGACCAGACAACATAGCTGGTCTCACCACTGTCTTGTAAATGTTTCCTTTGACCTTTGCTGACACCTTTTGTCACAAATCTCTCCTGAAACTTTTCTCCATCCACTCCGTCCTGCCTGGACTCTCTTCTTCAAACGACTCTTTAAGTTTTTGAAATCTCGTAAAATTGTAAAATGGACACCAGTACAGTGTCTCACTCTGAAACCATTAAAGAATCGAGTCAAAAACCTCACTGTCATTTGTTCATAATCTGCATGTTTTTTTTTATCTGTGTGTTTTTCAGGTTGAGGCTACCTGTTGGGTACCACGGTCGAGCATCCTCGGTGGTTGTTTCTGGAACCGCCCTTCACCGCCCGTTGGGTCAGATGAGACCTGATCAAAGTAAAATCTCATCTTGTTCTTTAGATTCCTTCTTGGCCATCACATGAAGGAGATGTTTTTATGTTTTTGTAGAAGCTTAGTCATCCTGGACGCTGCAAATCCAAAAAAGTTTTCAAACACAAAGCAGCTGGACTTCTGCTCTGTAGCTAGATGCTGGTGAGAAGTTCTGCCTCCATCCAGGAAGTTGTTTTATTTTTAAAACATTTTGGATCTGCAGATCATGTGTCCATCTGATGAGGACGTGTTCAGCCTTCAGCAGCTAAACGTTTGACATGAACGAGTTCATCAGGTCTACAGAACTTTTTTTAGCCTCTGTAGGTCCAGCTGCTCAGGGTTCTGCTTGAGTTGTACTGTTGGAACTAAAGTCTGAGAATAGAAGATCTGCACTCACAGGAAGCAGCTCAATAAAATGTGTTGGGTTTTTTTCTCAGCAAAGCCTCCGGTGTTCAGACCCAGTCAGCAGATGGACTTTGAGCTGGAGATGGTGAGTTCTCCTGTCCGTCTGCTCACCGTCCAACAGGAACGCTACAGTCACCGCAGCTTGGTGTTTTCTGTTCAGGCGTTCTTCGTTGGGGGAGGAAACCGGCTGGGGGAGCCCATCACCATCGACCGGGCCCACGAACACATCTTTGGGATGGTCCTGATGAATGACTGGAGCGGTAAGAGAACCATCGGCATGAACTCTGTCTAAGGTTTGATTCATTTACCTGAGTCCTGCAGAGACAGACAGAGGACGTGAGCTGCATGCTAACTTCCATGTTAGCCATGCTAATGTAGTTTTATTCCAGAAATGGACAAATCACAACACCTCACATCATCAGAGCTCCGACCCAGCAGCACGAGCTGAACAGACCCGATGGACTTGGATAAAAGGGCTGAACAAAACCCGCACCTGAAGTGATTCACAGGGTGGACAGGTGGACTCATGGAAGTCCATTTGTCCTGTCATTGTCCCACCTGTGACATACAAGCCTGATGTTCTGATCTGACCCGTTGTCTAAACACGCCAGAGTTTAACACCTTTTATTTTTAAAACCAAGAACCCCTGGATTGATCCTGGCTCAGCCTGCATGTGATCCTCCTCGGACCACACCCTCACAGGTGAAGCCATGCTTAGCGGTGAGCTCACCTGGTGTCACACCGTCATGAGAGGAACATCTCTGGGCCCAAACACTTGAATGGAGTCCTAACATCTCCATTAAATCCATTAGAACCACAACTTGGTTCTCCTCAGGTTGGACCCCATCCTCCTGGAACAACAGAAACAGAACCTGTTTTACTTCTGATCTCATTATTCAATGACTGACAAACTGAACTGGTTTCCTTCATTTTCAGCCAGAGATATTCAGGCCTGGGAGTATGTTCCTCTTGGACCGTTCCTGGGGAAGAACTTTGGGACCACCATCTCACCCTGGGTGGTACCAATGGAGGCACTTTTACCTTTTGCAGAACCCAACCCCATCCAGGTGAGAACTTCAATAAGTCCGTCAGGAGTCAACTCAATTTCCATCCATCCATCATATTTACCCGCTTCTTCCTTTTTGGGTCACGGGGGTCACTGGTTCCCATATCCAGCTGTCACTGTGCGAGAGGCAGGGGACACCCTGGACAGATCTCCAGTCCATCACAGGGACATATAGAGACAAATGAGACAAACAAACATTCACTCTCTCACTCTCACCTAGAGACACTTTAGAGTTACCAATCAGTCTAGCATGCATGTTGTTGGTCTGTGGGAGGAAACTGGAGGACCTGGAGAAAACCCACGTATGCACGGAGAGAACATGCAAACTCCAAAGGTCCCAGTTCAGAATTTGATCTAGTGACCTTCTCGCTGAGTGGCAACTGCTCTACCAACTGAGCCACCGTGCCACCCAATTCAAGACATTCAGTTTATTTCTACAGCTCCAAGTCACAGCAGATGTTGTCTCAGGGCACTGTACAGAAACATTCACAGACATTATAAAACCAGTCAGTAAAATTTATATATGTTAGGAAGCAGCAGATTGTGTTGAATCTTCATTCATCACAGTCTCCCATCCTGAGCAAGCACAATGGCAACAGTGGAAAGGAAAAACTCCCTTTAAACAGGAAGAAACCTGCAGCGGAACCAGGCCTAGGACGAGCGGCCATCTGCTTCGACCGGCTGGGTTTGAGAGGACAGGAAGTAGAAACAAACGCAGAATGACAGATCCAGGTGGACTTTCTAAACCAGACAATTACAGACCAGTCGCTCTAACATCAAACATAAGATAAAATGATCAACGATAGATTAACATATTATTTTAATAATAAAGGATGTATATCTAAATATCAAAGTGGGTTTCAAAAGGGGCATAATTCAGCTTTATGTGAACATAAAATCAGAAAAGCTCAAATAAATAAAGTGTGGTGGCAATATTTGTTGATACTGAAAAAGCGTATGATATTTTGTGGGTTGAAGGGGTATGAATTAAAATAAAGATATTGGGTATTACATGAAAAATGTTTAAATGGATCAAAAACTTTATCAAAAAAGACAATACAAGTTAGAATAGGAAAAATATTCTGGGAAATATGTTGTAGAAATTGGAACACCATAAGGCAACATAATAATTATTTCTTCTTCTTCTTCTTCTTCTTCTTCTTGCGGCTTTTCCCTCTTCAGGGGTCGCCGCAGCGAGTCATCCTCTAATAATCATTTATTATTTTCTTTAATGATGTTTTTGTTTAAATGATTGAGGAGATGGGCTGTTCGCTGTTTGCAGACCATGGAGACGTTTGGAAAAGAAGTAGAAATACAGAATTAACAGTAAAGAAAATACAGGATGCTATTAGTAAAACAGAGAGATGGACTTTTAATTCTCAGTGGGAAAACAAAGGCAATGATTTAAACACAGAAAATTATTACAGAATTTAAAAAAATGAAACTAATCAAGAAATAGAACGGATTAAGAGCATGAATTTTTTAGGAATATGATTTGATGAGAAAATAATCTGCAATATACACTTCCAGAAAATTACTGACAATTTTTTAAAAGTCTTAAATATCATATGTTTGGTGGGAAATGAATGGGGAGCAGACAGGACAGCCATCCATCTATCCATCCATCCATCCATCCATCCATCCATCCATCCATCCATCCATC